TTTCACACATGCATGTGACAGTCACATTGTATGCCAGGTGAAGTATGAGTGGCATTTGAATTATTGTGGTTTGGTGCTATAGATACACCATTGCCTCGAACCGGCGCAGAATTCAGCCAAGTGAAGCGCATGTTGACCATGGCGACCTCAGCGGCGCCTTCTGTCTCTGTATGAAACTAAGGGCGGAGTTTTGTGACCAGAAAAGCATTAAAGGACTCTGGTAGAAGTCTTAAGTTCCTTGTATGGTAATTTTAAAACATGATGTGGTCTTGGATAAAAACAGAGCTCAACTACTTTTACTGTCGAATGTCCTTTATTTGAGCGTAACAATAAGATCAATATAAATTTATAGCTGTCCTCCCCAGTTGTACATAACAAAACTGTTTTGACATTGGAATTCGTTCTTTACCAATACATCCCAATACTGATACATCCACAGAAACCCCCCCCTTCCCCCTTGAAGAGCAGTTGTACTATGCCTCCAATACTGAAGCTGCAGCATGGTACTCAGATCATTCATTATTTCATGAATGAGTTTAGAAGACTGATGCAACTTCTCAGCAATGGGACGTAAACCAAGTTTGGCTTCACAAAGGCTGCAGTGACTGTGAACTGGACTGCTTCCGCAGACTAGCCCTCAGAAACAATCAAGCTAAGTTGCACAAGACAAGTGGACAAAAGCAGTGCACCTACTGTTACTCAGACATTGGAATTATGCTATTAAAGAGGGAGGGTACAAGAATGCCAGCGTTTTCTTCCTTCTATGCGAGAAGTGATAAGGCTAGCGCAACACATGTGACGATTGCAATACGTCATTGACTACCTGATTGAATACCTGGTTGTAAAACCTGGAATACCTGGTTGAATACCTGGTCTTGCATCGTTACCTATTCACTATATTCAGTTCATTTCATCAAATAACCGTACACATTGTTTCAAGCATTTCTATTTTTGTAGTTACATGTTTCAAACAAACCACAAAGGACATTCCTAAGGCATGAAAATGCCTTGCAAGGTGGCCAAAGAATGAAGTTCACCTAAGTTGAGTGATTATTCCATGATTTAAGTATTTGACTGAACATGAGGGTCCACTTCAACAAAAATAAATGGGAACATACTTTAGATATTTTATAGAAATCTATGACTAATGTTAAATTATTGTGCATTAGTTCATTTTGCTTGAGCAGCCAATACAGATCAACACTATTCTAAAGACTACCCTTGATATTAACAAACTTAAACAGCAAAATAACGCTTCTACATCTGAAACACTGCACCTTTAAGGGGAGATGCGGGTCGAAAAACGCGAATTTTTTTCAAAATGACCAATTTTTTTATTTCCACCTGTTTTGATAAGATTAGTACCTCTACTTCTCGAAAAAAAAAAAATGCATGTCGAGACTTAACTGGAAATGCTTTAAAATTACATCTAAAAATCACAAGGTGCCTTTTAAAAGGCCCAAAGTGTGCAGTCTTCAAGCCCCTTGCCACCGATAATGTGCCGCGGCTCACTATTGTCGAACGCATGAGGCGAAGAGTCGAGCATGACTGTTCAAATAACGACCGTTTCCCTTGCTGATGTCACTGATGCGGCACAATAAATAATAAAAAGAAGCATGCTTTTACGCGTATTTCGAGAGCCGCGACTGGCTTATCATGTGGTACGAATTGCGGACCGCCATTGGCCGCTGCGCGCCTGTATGTGCTGTGAAGCCTACTTTTGCAGGGTCCATGTCCTGACAAGCAGCGCAGCTGAACAATGCTTTTCTCCTGTATTTCATCTCTGTCATGAATGAAAAAAGCCATTCGTCACACGTAAAAGCTGTTGTAGCAATGCGCTTTGTAGGAATAGGCTGCGAGCAGCTGGTTCGATTTGCAGCAGTTGGCTTGCAAAAGCCAATACATCAAAAGTCATTCACAGTCATCAGCCGGAAAGTTCGTGATGCGGCAATGGATGATGCCAGTGCCAATCTTGCAAGTTCGAAGAAACTTAGAGGGGACAACATTGTTATGTACGATGGTATGTGGCACAAACATGGCCGCAAAATGGCATCGGTACTGTTGTCTCTCTCGACGCTGGACTTTGTTTAGATTTCGCAGTCCTGTCGAACTTCTTCCTAGCTTGTAGTCGGCTCAAGGCTCTGCCAGATGGAGCGGAAGAAGTTTGGTAAGCGTTTCATGGCCCAGTCTGTGAGTGAAGTGTCTGTGAGGAGTCGGCTTGAAAAAGCCGAGAGGGATGAACTCATGGTGTTGGCGTATATTAGTGACAGTGACCACTACAAGAAGAATTGTTCTTTTTGGTGTGCAAATTTCATTGTATTTATTGACATCTTTCATAAATAAAAACTGAATTTTAACTTTAAAACTCGTTTTTCTCAAAACACAAATTTCGCCATTTTTTTTTTCAATGTGCCCCTCCTTTTTCGGGCACTTCTAGTGCTCGGATCTGCATAAAATTTTGCCCAAATTTTTTCCACAGTATAACAAATACAATTATCTAGTTTAAATTTTAATATTTTATTATAAAGTAAAAATTGTATGTAACCTTTACTGGGGTAAAATATGGACTTTTTTGTCTATTTTATTTTTCACACCTATTACATATTTTGTATGCACTTCCTAATTAGTTATTTGCATTCCACATTTTATTTGAAACATGAACTATGAATGGTAAAAAATTACGGAAGTTTAGAGATGAAAAGAGGGGGGGGGGGGGACAAAAGGGCTAAGATTTTCACTTTGTCATGTCACAGAGCTGAAAGTATGCAACGTGAAAGAAAACTAATTATATATTTGAAATCAACATACTAAGTTCCATAAACAGCTTAAGTTTCATTGCTCTAGAGTTAATATTAAAAAAAAAGTGTCTTCGAGTAGCATCTCCTCTTAATATTGACAGTCTAATATGAATAACCTTTTGTATATCACATCATGAGTTGAACGAAGTCTTCTTTCACAATACCATTCTTTAAACAGCCATTAGTTTGCAATGTAAGCAAAGATATCTTGCAACAGCTTTTACTAGACAGCTCAGACACAAAATAAATAAAGTATCATATGCCTACTCATTTTGTTCCAATATATATACGCATCAGAATTAGCTTCATAACAGTTTACAGTATCTACAAGTTTCAGAGATGAAACATACAACTACTTATAGATATTATTTAGTGACTACTTTCCGTATTTGTCATCAAATATCAACATGCAAAAATAAGCCCATGCTAAAAAAAACTATTTGCTTTATGCCTGCAGTTTGCAAAGCAAGTATGCATAGTACACTAAGCCAGAAAGATAGCTAAAAATCTATTGAATGAATTCTTGAAAATTCTTCTATTTCATCAAAATACACTAACAATGTGCTCAATAGGTTTGAAGTTATGGTGTTTCTAAGATGAACACCGACTTTCACATAACAATCAAGAAATTACAAACATTATGCCATTTAGTAAGGCTGATGCAAAAAAGAACATTATATTATTACACTAAAAGAAAAATAATAATGAGAGCTTGATGGGTGTAGTCAGAGTCCTTTGTTATCAAAAAGCACTTGCTCATTTTAAGTGGCATCAAAATTTCATTTTTGTGAAAAAAAAAAATGTCAGAAAATGGCACATGTCAAGCCCACTGCAATTACTGTTCACCAGGCAACAGCCCCAAATAATACACAGCAGAGCTACACTGCGTATGTTTTCACACCTGTTGCCAATTGCCTAGCGATGCTACTGCAGCAGTGATACTGCCACATGTAGGGTTCACCTTGCGGATAGCCAGTACCATGGCTCTCTGAGATATGGAGTGTATTCAGGAGTTTACACTGACTGGTTTTGTGTACAGTCTGTAAAAAAAATGGGGGGGGGTGAGGGGAAGCTCCTGCTATGTCTATTTAGTGAGACAACTTTCTAATCGGAGCTTTACAATGATAATAGCTGAAATAGGCTTTGTTTTATACATTGAAAAAACCTAATGTAATCCACCGAATTATTTAGATGGGTGTTCATCTTTTTCCATGCTTTCAAAACAAATGCCCCATATATAACCTGGGTTTTCTATATTTTGGATTCATGATGAAAGTTGTGTATGCTCTGCTAGTTTGATGTTCTCGGACATGGTGGCAAAATAGAGCAATACCTCCCTCCCACATGTATACCATGGTGCCTCCTACTAAAAAAATTTTAAATAACCTACAAGCTCAGCATGCAGAAGCATTACAAAGACATTTCATGGCATGGGCAGGAAAGAAAACACTGAAACTTAGCCAAGCACGAAATAATTGGGCCCTTTTTTTAGCAACAAAAATGCCGTGTTAGAAATAGCTTCTCGTGTCTGTGATGTTTGTTTCCAAGACTTAAAGTAAAAGAACAAATGAACACCATGTGGCAACCAATATAACCAAGAATGAGGCACCAGAGACAATGCATCATTGCTCCTGAGGGCAATTCAAGCACCAGCAGATGTTATGAGTCACCAATGAAACTGTCAATACAAAATATCCTGAAAGTCTTGTTTACGCTTGGGTTGAGCAAATGGAAAGGTGGCAGAGCTGCAAAACTATTCTTTTAGAAATTATTAGGAACAATAAAAGATAGCATGCATTGACGAAAGTAAATTCATGATGTTCATGCACCTCATATACCAAACAGCTCACAAAAAGTTATATCAATAGCTGAGAAACTCTGGTGACTTTCTGCTATAAAAACAAGCTTGATGTTTTTGCATATATTACTGAATTCTTCCCTTTGTTTTTATAAACATTATGTAGAGATATTGTGTTCAATTAAACCAAAACACACTGCAAGCACAATCACATAACTGCTACTAATCGTTTGGTAAATATAAATATTTAGAGTTAAAATATCACTATAAAAGTGGATATCTGCAAACTGCTCCCCCCCCCCCCTCACTAGCTTTTTAGAAGTCGGTATTAATGCACAACCTTACAGCTGATACAGGAAATCATGAAGAGCATTGCAAATATGAAAAGGCTTCATTATGCTCACTGTGTGGTGTTCCAGGTTGAAATGGATTTAACCGTGGTTCTTGGTGATGCAAGCCAAAGAGAAAAAGCAGGGAAGAATGGGAAGAAAGAGAGAAAGAGAAAAGCAAGGTCTAAGACAAGCAGACAACTAAAACAAAAGCTTTAGCTTGAGTGTTTCAGCTCACTGCAACTAGGTAACCACTCACCAAGGTTACAACCAGAACACACAACCCTAAGCAGCAGGCTAAAGGCATGAAAACTAGTTATCTTTTTATTTATTTCTGGTTTAAGCACAAGAGGTGTACCAAGTGGAACTAAGTGTTTTAGATCCAATTGCATAGGGACATCCGATTTCAATTAAACACTTACCGTAAACTTTAGAATGCCATCCTTGATTACAGATAAAGTTACTGTTCTTATTCTATGATTCCCATACAATAAATAACCTATAAATTCCACTTCTCTTCAGTAAATGTTGCACCTCCTGCCATACTATCTGCTCCTTTTTTCATTTTCCTCCCTTTCTTTTTATGTATGTGTAAGTAAGGAGACAAAATCTCTTGTACCATAACTGGTAAGAAAAGGAGAAAACTACACTTTACAAAAAGTGCCTAAAGGGGCATTAAACCTTTTCAAGTAATATGACTAATTAAACTAAATTAGTCACAAATTTCCTGCTAAAATATTCTTTTAACCCTTTAGTACAAGGAAAGTTGCAGGTGGCTGGAACAAGCTGCAAGCAGTTTTCTTGTTCCTTTGTTCGCACGAGTGCTCTGGATGCTCTGCAGGGTAGGGTACGTAACAAGGAGGCAGGTTCCGACCCTAAAGTCATGTCACCACACAACAAAATAGGGAATTTTCACTCTTTTCTTGGGGTAAAGATAGAGATTGAATGTTTTTGTCATGCATTGGCAGCTATTTCAGGAATGCCTGGCACTTGCGACAAATACTCGGGTAGCTCCGAGTTAATCGGGCTACCCTGTGCTGTTACACACTTGGAAATATGTCACCTAGGTGATTATTACCCAAAATATTCTCGTCATCATTTAATAAGACAGTACCTTTTAGACCACCTTCACTTTCACTGGCTGTATAAATGGTGATATCACCGCAAAAGAGTGGGAAAGCTATTCCCTTGTTTTGACACAAAATTCTAAATTTCCCGATACCTGCAGTGCAGTAATATTTACCATACATGTTCATAAAAGTGTTATCTACAGATCAGAAAATGTATTATTATGATGACCAAGCGTTCCATGAGCTCTTCAAGTCATTTTTTTAGTGAAGAACTCGCGAGCGGCAATGCAGCTACGACACCGACGGCTACCATGTGATAACATATTTAATGGATCCCATGCGTTTAACAGCAGCTGCTATAAAGCTCTAACCATATATGCTTTCGAAGCAAAAAAAAAAAAAGCCAGACACCAGACCTGCACGGCAAGTGCAGCACAGTCACAGCGAAAGCTGGAAGAGTGGCATTTCTAAAAGCCTTTGCAAACTCTGAAGGGGCTATCAATGCAAATAAGCATGCAAGGTACCCAGTACGCCACAAATTGATGCAATGGCTGATGACGAAGAACTATGATCGAGCTTTTTGTAATGGGCTGGAAGCATTGAATGATCCACACGTTAAGGAGTTCGTGTTGTGTGACGCCTGCTGCTTATAAAATACACATCGTGCGACACCTCGTCATTATTTTACTCTTCTACCACGCTACATTACGTATGCTAATGCAGTTTTTTCCAGACATGGTGGTTTAATCCGTCCCGTGATTTTTTTTCTTCGTTTTTTCTTCTTTCTCCTCCCCCTTCTCCAATTTGGTGGGATAGTGGTAATGAACACCGGCCACGGCGAAGAACTACGGCACCCTTATCGTCATTTCATAACAGTTCTCACTGTAAAGAAAACATTTGGGAACTAAAGCAAAACTAAACATCATGTACTGGCAGGATGCAGCTGTCATATACCTTCCTCTTGAGGGATAGTGGCAATCTACCTGTCATGATATGAGAGTGCTTGTCAAATGTGCTCCACCCCATTCTTATGCTTCTATTTACTTCAATTTCGTGGTTCGGCTTCGTGGTTATTACCTGTCCTAAGTAGACATAGTCTTTTACAACTTCAAGTGCACTATTACCTATTTCGAAGCGCTGCTCTCTTCCGAGGTTGTTGTACATTACTTTTGTTTTCTGCATATTAATTTGAAGACCTGCCTTCCTGCTCTCCTTATCTAACTTCGTAATCACGAGTTGCAATTCCTCCCCTGAGTTACTCAGCAATGAAATGTCATTGGCAAAGCGCAGGTTACTATGGTACTCCCCATCAACTCTTTTAACTCTTATCCCTAACTGTCCCCATTCTAGGCCTATACATATACAGGCATAAAAGACTCGAGAGAAGGCATCCGTAGACATAGTCAATGCTGAATAACTTCTCAATCCTTCCTCTTGATATTTGTTGAAGAACATGGGGACAAGGAGGAGTGACACAAGATGAATATATTTCGAATACGGGAATTCGCATTATTGCTTAGCTTCTCAAACCATAATTCATGATGACACAATAGCATGTGGGCACAGTAGCATCAAGGAAACAAAGAATTTTCTGAAATTTTATCTCCTAGTTGTGACAAAATAATCCAACTAAGTTGTGACAAAATAATCCAACTAATTCCCATTCAATTCGACCTAAAGAAACTAAATTACACTAACACCTCTTAAATTATAACAAAACCAGATATAAAAAAATATTGGTTACAATGAAGTAAATAAAAAATAGTCTTGCAATATATAGTGTTAGAGATAAACCTTTATAACAAATTTTTGGATATACCGAACTTATTTTTGTGTAAGATTCAACTGTTAGATTTGAGTGTGCCTAGTTTAAAGTTTTAAGTTTATTTCACATTTCCTTTTTACAGGAAAAAAGAAAACGCAACGGCAAGGAACAAAAAACTGAATAAACAGCAGCTTCATGGGGTTTCTGTTCACGTGGTTTGGCAACAAAACATACACCATTTGTACAAACAGAAGGCAAAAATACATATTCACACGCTTGTATACCCACATATCCATGTATATACAACATCTGAACACTTACCCATTTATACATTAACACATAATATCTACATCTATTCCCATAACAGCTTTCATACACACATGCCATTCAGCATAGAAAAGAAAAAGGAAAATAAAATTATACAGTAATGTGCACACATGTAAACTTATTCAATGCAGGAATGATTAATGTGCACATATATAAAAGTACTAAATAAGGGTTTAATATCCAAATTGACACTGTTGGGCTCAACAATACAGACAAAAATATACATACATAAATACGCAGATAAAATAAAGAGTACGAAATGAAGAAAACTAAAAAAAAGACAAGACATGAGTGTGAAATTGACAAATATTGATATAGTAATTGTACCTTTATTCAATAAGTTTGATTTAAACACCTTTTTTGTTTTTTGTAAGAGTGCTCGACTCGGTTTTTGAGGAATCCAACACATTTAATACCCAAGGCACTTGGCACTGCAATCGACACGAGCCTACATTCCGACAAGACAGCAGTCAAGCCTCACAATGATGATAGCTTCAAAAAACATGCAAAACTATGTAAAACATAGTAGGTGAAAGTGCAAACATGAGCATGCAGCACAAAACGAGGCAAAGCAGTCATACAGCTTAGCTACCACAGTGGCAGTAAAAAATTAGTCCTGCCCTAAACCATCAGGTTAATCTTTTCAAAGTGGGATGACACAGTTCCTCGAAACAAATTCTAGACATTGTTACAAAACAGCACATTTTTTACAAATGTTCAATACCTATATTGTCTTTTGGAACCATTATTACTCAGAACCACTTTCCGTTATATTAAATACACAGCAATGTAGAATTTCAAGGCACAAGCATGCAGCTACATATAAATAAAACTTTGCTCCCATCAACATGGTGCAGCTATAACTAGGGATTAGATCTGGTATGCCCAGCCCTAGATTGGGCAACACCAAATAGAAGCAAGGTATGTATCAACTATGTAACAACTGCAACCCATCCTATGAGCACTACAACATATGCTAGTCACACATATAATTGCAGGCTAGGATGACAACCACTTTTTCAAATCTACTCTATACAAAATTTTAATTTCAATGAATCCCAATTATGATATAAGAGTCGCACAGTCAATCCTTGATATAAAGACATACTTGAAGCTGAAAAGCTTTGTTATATAGATATGTAATTTCATTAGTCAACCTTCCTATGCTTCAACAGTAATACCATGACATGTTCCTGAAACAGTTCTGCATCTCATTAGTATTAACAGTTTGTCCCAAAAACCCCCCAAACAGAACTCAAAGCATAAAAAGTTGTGCCATGACATGTTCATTGATGGGCAGAGCATGAACCTCGCACTTTACAAAATTGTTTACCTTAGTTAAGTCTAGGCATCTGTACACAGCTCAATAAGGCTTACAAATAGGTGATGTGATTCATGTACAGCGTGGTGCCAAAGGCCTAGTCAGACTACTTTTATTGTCACCTTTAGTCTCTCGACGCTTACCCACTTGCTACTGCGGCTGGAGGATCGAACTTCCTAGAAACAATACTAAGGCATGGTCTAAAAGGTGCCCAGTTCTGAGTGTCCAGCCAGCTACATATGTGAGAGCAAGTGTTTCCCAGAAAGAATATGCCAACATAAGAACAATGTCAGGAAGATGGAAGTACAACGCAGAGCTGTTGCAGAGCACTGTGAGAAGCTTGGCCATAATACGAACTTTTGACGAAGCTTCTGTTCTAGAAACAAGACGGAATCTGGGGACGAGGTTCTCGCTCGAGTCCTGGCACATTCAGAACACATCTGCAAACGTGAACAGGTCCTAGAAACAATCCCCTCACTATACGTTCAAGGCCTTCAAAACACAAGGGAAAGGAAAAGCCGGAGCCATAGTGAAACAAGACGGGCAGATGCTTCCATGATTGACACAGTCGCCGCCTGAGACAAGGACCGAATCGATCCCGAAATGTCAGGCTCTCTCTCTCTCTCTACAG